AGGAGAAGAGACTATGGCCAACCACTCTGCAGTGTAGTGTGGCATAATGTCAGTGTGATTTTTCAGTTTCATATCTCTAATATATATAAAATATCCTTTGGGTTGTGCCCATCTTCCTATGTTGGTCCCATCTTAGTTGTAATTCTTTGTAATTCTTTCTGCACAAAGAAGCACAGCCCAGAGGGTCGATGGGGTTCCTAGGCAATGTCAAGACTAATAATTCCTGTTACAAAATCTTCCTAGTTTGGAAATTTTAGGGGTTATGAAGCAAACTCATCTTTAAACTTAGTGCTAGAGAGCATCCTTGTGGAAAAAGACCTGGGGGTATTAGTGGATGAAAAACTAGACATGAGCCACCAATGTGCAATTGCAGCCCAGAAGGCCAACTGCATCCTGGGCTGTATCAGGGGAAGTGTGGCCATCAGATCGAGAGAGGTGATTCTGCCCCTCTGCTCTGCCTGGGTGAAACCTCATCTGGATTACTGTGTCCAGCTCTGGAGGCCCCAACACAAGAAGGATGTGGACCTGCTGGAGCATGTCCAGAAGAGGGCAATGAAAGGATCAGAGGGCTGGAACACCTCTCTTAGGAAGACAGACTGAGTTGGGGTTGTTCAGCCTGAAGAAGAGAAGACTCCAGGGGGACTAGATGACCTTTAGAGGTCCCTTCCAACCCAAGACATTCTATGATTCTATGAAATGCTGTTGCTTTGCTGCCCATCAGCAGTCTGATGGCAGAGCTGGTTAGAGCAGAAGGCAATTTGGTAATTTTTGTTTACAATTGCTTTTTTTGCAAAAGTCCCTTTACAGAGTGATTGTCCAGCACAGCACAAAGACTCAAGACTTGATTCCTTTTATTTATTTTTTAGATTTTTGAGGTCCCAGAATTGTCCTGGTTTTGTTCTGTACCTTCATCAACCACATGTAAAAGAAGACAAGCCAGTCATTAGACCTAGGCTTAGTTGTGGTTTTCTTCAGTGTGTGTAATGATTGATTTTTCTACTTTGGAAAACTGTGGACACAAAATAGCAGTGACTGATCTATTTCTTGTGCCTCATTTTTAGACAAGATTACTCTCATATTTAGACAAGATTACTAAGTCTAGATGTGGCAGCAACTTCATTTACATCTGAATCTCAAAGTTTTTACTACAGGTAGGAGACAGTAGTTAATACAAGTAAATGCTAACTGTAGAGAGAAGTAAAGATCTTTACTGATTTTATTAGAATTCAGGCAATTACCTAAGTATTGTTGACATGTTTATGAAGATGACAGGGAACTAGGAATAGAATATATAATCCATCCTGGGTTAGACCAAAAAGCTATTCAGTCTAGTGTCTTGTTTCCAGTAGCAGCCAAAACTTGACACTTGGAGATGGAGTTTGTCATGACCAAAGAGACAGATAATATTCACACATAAATAAGTTTTGAAAAAGTAAAGGAGGATAAACAAGTGCTAGGGCTGGAAAGCTAAAACTCATAATAAAGATGATTTAATGTGTTAGCTTCAGAATTAACTTTATTATGTTTGTGTAAAAAAAGAATAAGTATATATGTTTTTAAAATTGTGTAGGTGAGTACCTTGTTTAAAATGGTTATTTCAAAGCCATGTAGATGTGGTGCTGAGGGACATGGTTTAATGGTGGCCTTGGCAGTGCTGGGTTAACAGTTGGACTTCATGATCTGAAAGGTCTTTTCCAACCAGAACAATGCAATGATGATGGTTTCAGAGATGAACAAGTTAGCATCTACTTCAGTGCTAACCAGCAACATACAAAGTAAAACATGCATTTTAGTTTTTCAAGGGACACTGTCATGTTTTTCAGGCTGGTGGAACCTGATGTCATAGACACCTTGGACCTCACATGGGAAACATGAATAAATATTGGCTGTGTCTTGGTTTATGGTCTCTGGCACGGGCTGATCTCTAACCTCCCCGCTGCTTGGCTAATGTCACTTTTTGTAAGTGTCATTAAAAAAAAAGAGAATTTAAAGAGTTTAATTTCTCAGCTTCCATGGCTGCCACATTTATCCCAGCTCCCGGGTATCTGAAAGATTTATCTTCTTTCACTGCCTATTTTTAAGTGCTTTTCTTCCCAAAAGCACCTTATGAGAGACAACATCAAAAGCATTGCTAAGGTCAAGGTAGACAACATCCACTGGTCTGCCTGCATCTACCCATTCAGTCACACCATCATAGAAGGCTATCTGATTAGTCAAACATGATTTCCCCTTGGAGAATCTATGCTGGCTAGTCCTGGTAATGTTCTGTTCTTCCATGTGCTTAGAGGTGACATCCAGAATGACCTGCTCCATCATCTTTCCATGGATGTAGGTGAGACTGACTGGTCTGTAGTTTCTTCTGTCTTCCTTCTTGCCCTTTTTGAAGACGGGGGTGACTCTTTCCTTTCTCCAGTCCTCAGGCATCTCTCCTGTTTTCCATGATCTTTCAAAAATTGTGGACAGTGGTAGAGCAACAACATCAGCCAGCTCTCTCAGCACTCATGGGTTCATCCCATTGGGGCCCATGGATTGGTCCATGTTCAGTGTGCCCAAATGATCTCTGACCCAATCCTCATTGACCAGCAGAGAGTCTCCCTTCCTCCAGGCTTTCTCTCTTACTTCCAGTTAAACCTGAAAAAACTAAACAGAAGAAACTCTTAAACTAGAAGTTTTGGTAAAATAGGGCTGACCTGCACTGAAAGTCCCAGGTTCATAAAAAGCAGCTCTTATGACTCCAGCAGTATTGTGTACATGGTTACAGCACCCTCCCGATGTCACCAACAAACTGATTTGTCTTTATTACAAGAGAATACAGTGCCACCTTGGTGGCGTTACAGGTATTCTGAAAATATGTTCCCTAAAAATCTACAAATGGCCTCTAGAAATTCTCTAGTCTGGGAAAGGCTTGATTGTATATAATAAAGGATTGTACATAATAAAATTGCAGAACTGTGCAATCAGAAATCTTGTAACAAGATGTTTTGTATTTAATTTTATCTTTGTCTTTATCACTGTTATCAAGGATTTAGCTAGAAAACTGAGGACACTGTTATTTCCAGAACTGGAATGAACCTGTGGAAATGTCTCATAATGATCCTAAAACTAGACTGGAAATGGTGAATTACATCCACTTTTTTATTAGAAGAGTCATCTAAAAGCAACATTGCAATGAAATAAAGAATTATACCATGGGATTTAATTCACTTCCCCTAAAATTATTTGGAATACTGAGGTAGTGTCTGTTGTGGCTAAGAGCAGTATTTTAAGGAAACTGTTTGTCCCTCCCAAAGGAAAATAATGCACAGAGGAACTGTGGAAGGAATTGCTGCCGAGAAATACAGTTTTGGTTGCAAAAGCTGCTGTTTCTTGTAGCTGTTTCTCAGCCACACGCCTGGTGTGCAGGAGAGATGTCTCCTGGCAGGAGAATGCAAAGTGAAGCAGGGAATCTTTAGGGGAAAAGGAGAGTTTTGCAGTGTGGACACGGAGTTCCTTGCATTCAGTCAAGAAGAAGTAAGTAGGGACATAAAGGGGTGGAGGGAAAGCACCATTAATTAACTTTGTACATGCAGTAGCAAGATTAATGGCTTCTAAATGTGGCACAGTGCAGTATGTCTGTTGGCTTTCCACTGTCTTGTAATCTCATTCCTGCTAGTTTGTTCAGTAACTTCCTTTTTCAAAGGAGCCTGTTCATTAAATATCTTATGACCAAGTAATTCCTTGTTATAATGTTCTGTTTAGAATAGCGTTAACATTAAGCATGCAGCATAATTATTTCTGGGCAAACTTGTCCTGAGAACTGAAGGGCTTTTACACCCAAATCCTTTGTGGAGAGATTGGGAATAGATTCTTGGTGATTTTATATATTTGACATCCAGGTGATTTCTTTTTTAGTGGTTGGTTGATTCTCTGGATTACTGGGCTCTGAAAAGCCTTGAATGAAATCAGCTCGTGAGTCTGGAGGCAATTCCTGGTGTTCCCACACTTGGAGGAGGAACAGACTCCATGCACAGGGATTGCAAATGCTGGTGGGTCAGACACTTCTGCCCCATTGTCATGGAGTAAAGTGGTGTTGGCCAGAAGGAATTTCAATATTATCTGCATTAAATCTCACTGAAATGAATGCTCACGTGATGTCAGATATAAACCTGTGAAGATTTAATCCATGCTCCTGTGGCATAAGCAGAAGAGTCCGGTGTTTTTCTCCATGCTAATCCGCACGAGCCCGGTGCTGCCTGATGTGCAAATGGAGCTTTTATCTGTGCACAGACTCTGCATGTTCCTGAAAGTCTCATGTGAAAGGATGATGGATGTATTTGGATATCACCAGAGGGTAAACATAGGCAAATATTAATTCTGTGACAGTAGCTGCTGTAGCTCTTTTCTCCCAGTGGCTTGAATTCCCTGTTGGAGCAGCCTGAGGACATCCCACCCAGGCTTCTAGTGTCCTCCTGCTCCCTGCACAGCCACAAGCATGTGGAGCCCAGCTGGCACTGGGTAACCTGCAGGGTTTGAAAATGCAAATAATGGGAGCATCAGTCCCTACTTTTATTCTATAGGGCAGCAGGGAACATGAGGCTCTAACAGTTGTTTTTTATTCCAACTAACTGTAACTTATCGAAATAAAAATCCAATTATTGATGTATGTTGTTGTTGTATAAATCACTGCTTGTTACAATAAACCTTTGCTTAATTCCTTTAAACGTTTCAAGTAATTAGCCTAATTTGAGTGGTTACTACAGGTGCTTGAGCTACTAGACCCTGCCAGAGGTCAGTTTGTAATCAGGGACGTTCATTTCATCTTCGTTGTAGTGTAACACATGAATTGTGACAAACCATTGAGACTAGAGTGAGCCAAGCTGTCCCAGCATCTTTGTGCAAATCAATTCCTGCTTTGGAGAGCCCTGTCACAGAGCACAGTGACGTCCTGTTCCCCAGCGGTGGCTTTGTTTCCTTTTTGGTTTTTAAAAAATCACTAACTGGAATAAATATTTCTCTTCTAGTCCTCCTCGGCCTCTGACTAACATGAATGACACCATGGTGACCCACATGTCCTCTGGAGCACCTACACCAACAAAAAGGTATGCGTGCCTTCTGATACTGCTTGTTTATTTCCATGAGAGGTAAAAAAATACCGAGGATGGTTTTTGTATCAGTAGGAGTCTTCTAACAGATGTCAAAACAACACTGCCACTTCACATTTTGTATGCAGCATCCATAATGCAAGGAATTTTGTCATGCTTCATTTTGTTCTCCCTGAAGAGTGATTTTCTTTTATTGGAGTAGACATTATTACAGGAGTGTGACTGAAGAAATATCTAAAGAGCTCTAAAGAGATTTTTGTTTTTATTTTGAAATAGAGCATTTCTTCCAAAGCTGTTCTGAGGAAGTCTGGTCTTGTTGTATCATAGGCTCCTCTGCCTGCAGAGGATTATTTTGTTCTGTTGGAGACATTTCACATAATGGGTGTACATCCTGGCCATTGTTAACGCTCAGTCTCCACGCCAGACGGGGCTGAGCTGCCAAAGTTCTTTCATGTCTACTAGAGGCATTTAGTTTGGAGTTGAATTTGGGTTTACATTTACTTAGTGATATATATATGCAAATTATTGTGTGGATGCACAGATGTAAACATGCGAAAATCCAGCTGAATCCTGTATTTGCAATGTTCTTTCTTGTTAAGATACCTGAGGGAACATAGCAAGGGGCTTCACTGGAGGCTTCACTTGTCCAAAGCTGTGAAGGAATAAATGTTCCCTGCAGGGAGTGAGAAACTTAACTGTCACTGTTTTAGTGACAAGGTGGTACTCAAGAGGCACATCAGGTCCCTCATTTTCTGCATCAGTCCTTCAACCAGCACTGAGCAAAGATCTGTGTACTTCTACTTTCCTTGACAAAATAAGTCTATTGTGTATGCAGGTTGGAACTACCTACATTAAAATTACTTCAAACTCTGTAAATCATCCCATGTAGTGTGTATAAACACTACACAACGTGTGGCTTCAGATAGGGCACATGGGAGTCTCTGTCACAGGAGATTTTCAGGATGCAGTTGATTGAAGTGTCAGATAATCTCAGCTAGGCTCACTTTCCCACAAAAAGCTAAACCAGATGATCTCATGAGGGCTCTTCCAACCTGGGCTGTTCTGTGACTATGAAAAATGCTTTTTGCTGAATTAGAAGCAAAGAGGCTGAGAGAGTGGGCAATTCCCAAGGCCAGTACTCTACAGAGTAGCCATGTAGTCATTCCTTGAGCAACACAACCCATAAGACACCTTATTTATTGGGTTTCAACCTTATAGACAAAGTTTTTTGCTTTTTCTCTACTTATAGCTTCTGTTCGGTGTCCCAAGTCTGTTCGCTGTAGTGCAGACAGCAATCATCTTCACATCTGTATCAGAGAACATCATGTCCTCTGTCTAGGGTTTTCCTGCAGCCTCCTCATCCTCTTGCATAAAAGCTCTTTCAGAATGGAGTGGTACAACCTTGGAGCAACAGTTGATGTGGGTAGTGGCCACCTAGTTCCTTAGTTTCCCCTTCTTGGTTTTACCACCTTTTCCCATTTTCTTTATCCAAACTGAACGATTCACATTTACAAAATCCACAGTCATCAAGACCATCCCAGCAGTCTGGCAAGGAGACCTTTCTGATGCCACCTTGCCGTGTTCTGGCCCACTGTTCATTCCTTTGCCTCTTCCCAGAGGGAGATTTCTTTCTCGGGTGTTGTCTACTATGTTCTCTATAAAAATGATGTCTGATGTGGAAGAGGAGGGCAGTGTAACTTGAGTCACGATCATCCACAGCAAGTATCTCTGTGTTTCTTGCTTTGTAGAGCACCAGGAGACAGACTCGCAAAATATGAGCTCAGCACCGCATGTTCTGGAGGATGATCTCTGGTGGAGAACATGAAGCAGTCATCCACAGATAGGCTTTTCAGTTCCAAATTTACCACACAGGAACAAATACTTAATTTCTAAAAGAGCAAATGAGAAGATAATCTGTGTTGGCTCTATTGCCAAGTACCAGCGTTGACCCTAGAGTACATTTTACCTAAGGAAACACTTCTTTTTCTTGCATATTTTTTTTCTTTTTTTTTCTTTCTATCTTCATGTCAACATCCAGAAAATCATTCAGGATATGTCTTTCACATCATCACCTGCTAGATATACTTCCGTCCCTCAGTGGTCAGAGCCTAGCCTACCTATTCCCTTAATTTGAGAAGGGGGATGCCACAGAAAATGCTGGGAAAAATCCCTGTCGAGCTGTAATCCAAAATAAGAAGGGGGCTGAGTGTTACAGCCTGACCCTTCGAGTTGTTTTCTTGGCCACATAGCCCTTAAAATAAATCGTTGAGATAAGGAATAGTGAAAGAGCATTTTTATGTGAGATAGAGAAGGGAATGAGAATCAACAGCTTATGGTAAGTAGGTATTAGTAGGTAAAATAGTGTTGAAGGTGAACACTAATTAGATTATGACGAGATCTCTGCGTTGTCAGGGGTTTTAAGGGTACAAGAGTTTCATGCTGATACTGTATCCTGTCACCCGTGATGTCAAGTAGCAGATGCTTAGGTAAAATTAAAAGCAGCAAGTCATTAAGTCAAGTCACTAGGTCCAGTTTTGCATTTGCTCCCATCTTGCAGCACTCAGCAATTTCTTTCCTGCTGTGCAGCGTGTTTAGAGACCTCTGCTTCATAAATCCAGCATCCCCAAGTGAGTTCTACTACTCAATTATGACCTGTTTAAGAAAATTCTCCCTTTTTGTTGTAAAATTCATCTGTTAGCCTTCTTGATGCTAGGGAATGTTGTTTACATCCCACCTGCCTCTAGCCTAAGAGTCTTTGTCTACTAAATGGATGGTAATTTGAAACTCTGGTCATGCTTGTTGTTCTTTTCAGTTCAGCTTCTTCTTCCAACGTTTCTTTTTGAGGTGGGATGACCAGAACTGCCCTAATAGTCGAATCTGAGTTCACTTTGGTGTTCCAGTCCCATCTTCTTCTGCTTGTGTGAATTGCGGGGATCCACGTGCCTGTTGTGAGCAGGACTGTCCCAAAGGCACACAACTAGATAAATCTTTCTCTTCTCTGCTGTGGGCAAAGGTATGCATAGATCTGGATTTGAGCACAAGAATCCCAGTAATACTAGCTGTAGAAGCTGCAGGGATCAAGGGAAACATAAATAGATTTTCAACAGTGCTACCAAGATTAGTATTTTGATGAATAAGGACATGATAGAACCAACAACAGAGCTTTACAATCAGCAACACCCTTTGGCTTGGAGCATTTTTGCATTGATAAAGGAGTAAGGTCTTTGTTGCTCCCCATTGTCCAAGACAAGAACAGGTAGGCCAAAGATAACTCAGAAATAAAGACTTTGAGAAATCAGACCTGTTTGAACACATGGCATGTCATCTACCTCTATGTGCCCTGCAGCTGTTGCCTACCAGGACTTGCTTACTAAGTGAGAATCAGTTCTCATTTGCTGGCTCAGGCCTTGTGAAGGGAGCTCAGTGAGGTCATCAGAATAGAATTAATGGTAAGAAAAATGTCAAGATAGGTCACTTCAGCCGCTGGGGCTGATCCTTGGTCACAGTTATCACCAATGTACCAGGTGAACAGCTCCTATTCTGAAAATCATGCAAGTAACTATAGGTGACTTCCCATTGGCTCCAGACATGGAGCAAGTCCAGAGGAGTCCATGAAGATGATGCGAGCGATAGAGCAGCTCTACTCTGAAAACAGGCTGAGAGAGTTGGGGTTGTTCAGCCTGGAGAAGAGAAGGCTCTGGGAAGATCTTAGAGCACCTTCCAATAACTGAAGGGGCTACAGAAAGCTGGGGAGGGACTTTTGACAAGGGCAGGGAGTGATGCGACAAGGGGAAATTATTTCAAGCTGCAAGAGGGGAGATTGAGATGAGATCTGAGGAAGAAATTCTTTGCTGTGAGGGTGGTGAGACACTGGCCCAGGTTGGCCAGAGCAGCTGTGGCTGCCCCATCCCTGGCAGTGTTGAAGGCCAGGTTGGATGGGGCTTGGATCAAGCTGGTCTAGTGGAAGGTGTCCCTGTCCATGGCAGGGGCATTGGAACTAGATGATCTTTAAGATCCGTTCCAACCCAAACCAGTCCATGATTCTATGATTTAAAAGCCTGGAGCTTTCCTGTACTCTGGTAAATATGTAATTCCCTCAGCAATTCAAAGGCTATGCTGAGGTAACCCAGGATAAAGATCTGTATCCCACATATTTCAGTACCATCCCCAGCAAAGAGTGAAAGAAGAGGGAGCAAATTTGGAATAAACAACCTGATTCTGCAAAGTTTTCTCTGTCGTCATCCTCTGTCCACAATTTGCTCTTCTGAAGAAGTGGGACATTCACAGAAGTGTGGAATGGCACTAGACCAGTCCAGAATTTATCTTTAGAAAGCCAAGATCATCTTATTTTCAACTGTCGTCTTTTGTTAGACATCATGAAAACACACAGGCAGCAAATACCTGGTAGGTGCCATCATCTGTGATCACCATCCCCATACTAGTGCCTACTTCTTCCCAAGGTCCTGGCTCATCCCTCTTTATCCCACTTTCAGAGCCCTGTTTCAAAAGGTTACTTCACCTAGCAGATTCTGCAAGAGTTCATGGGAAGAGACTGCTTCTCTCTATACTCACTTATTCCAAAGCAGGAATGGGGTATTTCTCTTTTCCTGCACCTGGGGGGAACAGACAGGCTGCTCAGGCTCAGGTGGTAATGTTTCCCTCCATCGTTCCAGCTCCTCAGCTTGCAGAACCATACTTCTCCATAACCACTCACCAAGCCCCTGGGGATGTACCTGAGGCTCACAGTGGGACCAAAACACACCTCTCCAAAGGTATTGTCATTTAGACTCTGCTCAGTGCCTTTGTTCTTTGCAAAATATCTTTTTGTGGTGGCTACATACACCTGTCTAAGTCCAGTCAGGGTTGGGTTGGTTTTAATGACACAACAATGAGAAATGCAGGTCTTTATCAGAGCTTCTCTGTTTGCTCAGCTGAGATTTTTCAAGGAGGGATCAGTGAAAGCCATTTCAGATCATAGATTTGTGTGATCCAAGGTG